TATTACTTTTTAAACATTTTTTTGTAAAAAACGCATTTTCTTTAAACTTAAAAAAATTTTAAATCATCTTTGTGAAAATCAACTCTTAATTAAATGTTCTTTCTGTAGTTTTTAGTACTAATTATTTATATACTCGTATATTAAATAAATTTTTAAACATTCTTGAAGAGGTTATTCATAATTTTTTAAAGATTTTAAATTGTTTTTCTCGCTTCCAGAAGTTAAATATTTCACGAACATCTTTCTAAACAAGTCTAATCAATAATTTTTTATACCTTAAACATGTCTTTTATAAAACTTTTCATTCTTGTATTATTAAAAGAGCATGTTTGCTGATTTCAAATGCTGAGTTTATTTTGCAGTTACATTAATAAGCAAGAGTTTTTTAATAAATAAACTTGTTAAATTTAAATTTCGATTAAAAAAAATATATATATAAGCATTTACAAGAGGGATATTTGACATTTCACTCATTATACTTATAAAATGCATCTATTTTAATATCTGACAGTTCTAGTGAATGTAAAAATGATTAATTGACTATAAATATTTCTGTAAATTCTTCCAGAGAGATTATTAAACTTCTCATTTTTAAAGAAAATTTAGCATTTTAAACTTCAAGTAATTCAATTTAAAAATTTGAATCAAAGTCAATATGCGGCTTCGAATTGCTTTTTTCTTATGAACAATCCTTAAATTTAATCAGAAAAAAACTATGAAATTTAATTAAATAAATTATCTTAACGTACTAAACAGCTTATTAATTCTAAAATGATAATATTTAAATAAATGAATACAATAATGTTAATAAATTAGATTTTGTTTTATAAATTTGACAAATCTTATTTTCCTTTTGTTAATTATTTTATTCTATTCAAATTATATCTTTCTTACTCTTTTCTCAGTAATTATATTATTGTTAGTAATATAATTAAATAGAATTTAACGAAGTTATTCCTCAATAAGATTATTGTTTAATTGAAACTTTAAATTATAAGAAGAAAAGAAAAAAAAATTTAAATTTTCATTGAAGTTTTATGAATTTTAATGAAGTTTCTTTTTAAAGCATTATGTCTATAATTTTATTTCATCAAAACATTTGCAATTATATATAAAATTTAAATTTTACATTAAAATTACTAAATTACATAAAATAATTTAATTATAAATTAAACTGATTTAATTTTTAAGTTAATATTATATTATATTAGTTTTCAATAATTTTGATGTTTTTAGTGAATAAAATAAGATAAAAAATTGAAATGATTTATAAAATTTAAGAATCAGTTTTTAATATATCAAAATAGGCATTAATTCTCCCTTAAAATATTATTTTAAATTTAAAATAATTACTATTTTGTTATTTTATATAAATTTATAAGTATCAATTACATACATTAATTATATGTATTTATACAAATGAGGATGTTTGTTTGTTTGTTCGCTATGCACAATTAGCCAATTGCTATATTTAAATACTTCTAACTTAGATACTGTCGTACATCCCACTCCATATTATTGATTGAATTTCTATATATCAATTAACTTGTGTCTACATTTGATTTGCTGGCTTTACACGTAGCGCTATTTGTTGGCAAAAAAATTTAGAAAATAATAAACTAAATATAATTTTTAAAAATATATATTATATTCACTTAATTACTGCTGATATAGAGCGAAACAGACGTGCTATTACGCGCCATTATGCCATTACTACGACAAGTAGCGCATAGCAGTTGTAGTAGTGGTTTCCCCCTGTATATCTTACTTTTTGTGTTAGCAACAGAATCGTGCTAATCATGTATCTAACTCCGTTCAGGGGAAAATAATTTTAATTGAAACAACATGAATTACTGTAGGAACAAGAAGTTCTTATATAGTTATTCTGGGTCTACTACCCCCTCTGCTTTCCACTAGTTTTCTCTACATTTATCTATCATACTCCTTTCTCGAGATAAATAGAGAACAGACGAACAGACGGATGCTAATGGCTTTTATAGGTCTACAATTTTTTCAAAATTGCAGCCTAATAAATACCCTCCAGTAACAGAGTGGATAAAACCATCGAACACCGGTAGTCGGTCGTGGGTTCGTGCTTCGCCAATGGACTGGCCAAGTGGAGTTTTCTGGGTTTTATTCGCGTTAGTAACACCTAAATAGGGGCCAGCTTTACATAAAAGTATTTCCGAGATGTATCCTCCTTGGCAGTTCGCTCATGTGTCGCGTTGCCGTAACCAAATAAACAAACCAATTCTAATACTTTTTCAATAAACTCGATATTTACGAGGACCTACTTAACTACCACAAAACCTAGACAATCCGCTCATCTCCTGATTTAATCTACTCATAAACTCATTGCCCGAAACTTCTTTCACTGATATTGCTTAAGATGTTCTAACGTTCAACCAAATTAATGTACAGTACTATACGTGCAACGATTTTAAGGACAATGTAGGGCTGGAAATCTTTTTTTGTGTCGATGTTTATTTTTCCTATTTATTATCATGGCGACGTTGCTTCATTCAAAATTTCCTTCAGTTGTAGTATGTGTAATGTTCATATTATTCACATGTTGATTCTTACTGTCAAATCTGCTTCTACTATTCTTATGCCACAACTTTCAAAAGTTTCCTTTACTTAAATATTTCTGGTGAGCTTTACTTTTTCAACCTGGTTTCACCAGTTTTTTTTACGGAATCACGTAAAAGAAATTATTCTCGCATTTTTACAAGATTTTTTTAAAAGTCTTATATCTAGTCTTTCGGATGTTAAGATTAGCAAGTTCGATCACATGCGGGGCCATCACAACCTAACCTATACAACACGGATCACTTTTCAAATATTAATAGTAAATCGGTATTAATTAATAGTCGTTGACTCCCGGAGGAGGACAACTATTACTTTTGATCGAATTAATTTCAACTTCTATCTTCAACAGCCCTTCTTTCTATCGTATTATATAATGTTCATATTCGAATGCCACGGTACCGGGTGGAATTCGAATAGGAAAATTACATAATATGAGGCTACCAGCGAGCACAAAATATGTTTTAAGTGGTTTTCGAGGGTGCTGAGTTTAATTATTTAGTCCGTTTTTCGCGAATTTTGATTTGTTGTAGGATCACCATTTGATATTCGGCTGTGAGTTAACATTAGTGTCTACTTGACCGATGAAACTGTGCCATTTCTTACTATCCTAGTATCGCGATAAACCTGACAATGGTAGGCTAAAATAACCAAACTCCTTATGTAGTTTTTTTTAATATTTGTTATATTATAGTATTTGATTTTTATAAGTACAAACGTTATCTTACTTAAGGGTTTATCATATCAAGTACCCAATCTAACACATTTTAAAACTTCTTTATTCCTGTATAGTACACAATTTAAAGAGTTTTTAAAATGTGTTAGATTGGGTACTTGATAAACCCTTACGTAAGATAACCTTTGTAAATATAAATCAAATACTATAATAAAATATACTATAATAGAAGGGTTAGAAGTACAAATTAATTTAATAATCTTAATGTTTGTACCTAATTTTTTCTAGGGCAACGCCGGACTTACCTGCTACTAAATTAATATATTTAGATTATTTTTAATAAATTAATTTTATAATGTTNATAATAATAGTCACTGTTATTATTAATAATACAAGTGATGTTGACAAAATTATTAAATTGCTTATAATAAAAGTTGTTTTGGTTTATAATAAAAATTGTTTAGCACAATCGATGCAAAGTTGCTTAACTTTAATGCTTTTATAATTAATGGAGAAATGCAGAAAGATTTAAAATTAAGCTCACTTTACGCATAAATTTATTATTAAACATTTAATGCAGTAATGTAATATTTTAAATTTTGTTTCATTTACTACTTTAGATGAATTTAATGTGCGCAAAAGTAACTTGAAAGTTCTTCGCTTCAGCTGCAGTATGAGATGAATAATGAAGGATAAATGCCATGTGTTGCCATTATATAGATTTTAATTAAAAAAGAACAGAATTAAAAGAAACTTTAACCTATAATATCTAAGTGTAGCCTACTAGCTATTGGAAAAATAAATGGTGATTGCAGAGCGAGTTTATTTTTACAGCTGTATGCAATAACAAAGAAGAAAATAAACACGCCTTTCCAATTTCCAGAAACAAGATTTTATAAATTATATAAATTAAAGAAGTCAGTTTCTTTCTTCTATAATAATTGTATAAATGTACACAGTTTCTTCTTTAGATACACAAAACAAAGTTTTAAGCAATAGAATAATAAAAAAGAATAAGAGAAGAAGTCTTTTTTTTCTATTGTTATTTTCTATAATAGCTTCTTGATGAACCTGTTATTCAAGTGAAACTATTTTATTTTATTTATTTTTAAGCAATATACAATAGTCCTTATTCACAGTAAAAAACTTTATATGTTTATATTGATCTCGGATCCATCAAAACATGAAATCATTTATCAGTTGTATTTGGTTGGAAATCTGGTTGTCCTGGACAGATGCCAGATGAATGAAACTTAAACCATTTTTAATATCAAACGCGTACCATAGGTAGAAACAAGATCCCAAGTCTTTATACTAGATCTTTATCGCGTGATAAATGTGATCATACTGTACGACGGAAATATCGATCACAACTTGTGACTAAGCGTTACTATTTTAACTTTCGATCACGATTCCAAAAGAAAAACTCTATATTTAATTAAATTTATGTACAAATTTAAAAATCGATGTATACGCAGCGACTATAATTTGTGCGAAACGAATAATGTTGTGTAATTTGTATCCGAAATCAAAAGATTGCATTTTAAACGCATTTTTGGGAAATATAACGATGCGCGCGTACAGAGTACATTAATTACAAGAGACGAGAACTTTTGCTGCAAAGAAAAATAGCGTACGTAATAAGTGAGGTATTAGCAGCTGTTAGCCTCTTACAACAGTGTCAATTGTGACCAACAGATGGCTCTGCTGTCGTGACACTCACGACGATCGTTGTTACCCTTAAGGTCTTGTTTCGTAAGATCTGCGTGATATCTCCGAATGCTGAATAAATTTCCCTGGTATAGTTCACTCCCTTTAACGTATTCCACGTCCCGACCTAAAAATAAAAATAAAATCTTTATTATAGTCGTAATATTTTCATTAACAAGTAACAATGAAAATAATGGACAGAAAAGTTATAAAGAAATAACAGCGTTGAAAATGTTCAACATTGAAAAGTATTATTCGTTTCTGCCTTTAATTTTATTCGGATTTATAGTTAAATAACAATTAAATTTTTTCTTGTTAAAGTTAAAAATTAATTAATGTGAATTCACTTGGTTTTGTTTGTTACCTTTGTAACTACTCCTTTGTGTAATTCCACAATATCTAATGTAACGTCATAACGTTGTCCTCTGTCGTTAAATTTGACGTCACCTGTCAATCCCTCAATGTGAATCTGATAAAATTAAAGTTGGAAATTAATTATTCATTTAAGACAAATAATTAGACAATTAATTGGAATAATGAGATTATAATCTAATCAATTTGTTATTTTATCGTATCATAACACAAATTTAAACATTCTATCAATATATGCCAGAATATTTACACTTTTAAAATGCTAAATTATACAAATTTTTAATCAGAATAATTTTCAAATAATTATAATGATAATAATTGTACAAGCAAAGACTGACTTACAGAACAATTTGTAATTTTTTTTTTCAGATATGAATTATGTATTCTCTATAACGAAGATTTACTCGTATGTAACATCGATTTCTTGATGAATATTCAAATATTGTCAAGGTAAAAGTTAATAAATCAATATGAAAGTCAAAAGTGCAGAAACGGAATCTCTTATTGAGAATCAAGATTTGATCGGTTAGGTGGTTTATTCACTGTTGTTACATTGTCAACAACTTGACAGTTGATCGAATTTTACTACAACTCTCTTCATAATTCAAAAATCTATTGGCATCTCCTCTTTTCATCATTGTTAACATGTATATTGAAGTCATCATTCTTTTTTGAACAGAAGTTTAAACTTTATAAATATATTCTGAGTGAACTCTTACATCAAATAATATATTATTAAACTTTAATAACTAGTTTATAAACCTAAGTAAGATTACCAATAAGTTAACATTGTTAAATTTTCGGTTTATGTAGCATTTATTTATTTACAATTAGGAAATGTAAGTAAATAAGACAAGATTTTCTCCCACTACACCAAAATTAAATCCCAAACAATACACAATATTGTAAAATAAATATAAATATTGTATATAAAACTAATAATATTTAAAAATAATTTGCAAATTTCTTGTACATTGTAAATTAGATTTATCATTTTTAATTCATATGTTTAAAATTTAGCAAAATGCCAAAGAAATGTAAAATTCGTACATTGTACAGCATAAAAATCTAAATCTTACAAGAGTTTAGATAAATAAATATTTCTTATAAAGATTATAATAGTAATTATTTTTTTATAATAAAAAATTTGGTAAAACTTTTTACGCCAAAAGAAATCTTTGAAAAATTTTGAAGAAAAATTCACAAATTTATCTTCATGGCTTCTTTGTTGATTATGTTTCTTTTTCTGGAATAAAAACATCTCTCTTCATCAAACTTTTTCTTTCAACAAAAGATCGCATTTCTTCTTTTACTTACTTTTTTCCCCGGAAACGGTTTTCTACTTGATAGCTACATGTAATTAGTTTTAGTTTTAAAAGGAAAAAAGAACATTTCTTATGATTGAGAGAAATTTCAGTTTTTCTTATCTCTCAAAGGAATATACATATATAAAAAAATTAATCCAAAATTAAGGATTCAAGTTAATATAATTTGATGAATATAGATTAAAATTGTAAGATACCTTTGGTCGAAGGAACTAATTAAATCTTCGGTTTATACAATGTAGCAGATTAAACGATAAAATTAATTATTTGACATTTTAGATGCCTTCACCAAACTTAGATATTTTGAGGACAGTAAAAATTAGAAAACGTCTCCAGTGACAAATGATATAACATTAACAGACAATAGCTACTGCCACATACAAAAGAAACCGAGCAAAAAAAATTCAATTTTAACTTTAGCAAGTTTTCAGTAATAATTTAACCCCAACTTACCATTTTCATGTAACTAACCACAGACCTCCCATAAGTTGTAACTTTAGACCGCGTGCATTCAATTGGGAAAATTTGGATAGGTTGGCTCTGATCCAGATCTTGAAGAGCTTGAGAAAATAAGAGTATGGCGTCATATAGTAGAGCCGTATCGGTCTAAAATTAAAAATAAATTACAAGAAAATAAACATTTCTAGTATTTATAAGAGTATAATGTCAACATTTTATATATTTTTTAAATTCTTTAAAAATATATCACAAATAGTTCGAATAAATTGTTAGAAGTTTTATGAATGAGTCGCTTAAATTCGCTTCTTGTCGCATTTTCTTAAAAATAAAAAACCCGTTTAATCAACAGAAACATTGCTAAATGAAATTTTTAAAATAGACGTTAGGGAGTAAAGATTAGATCCCAAAATTAGAGTCGAACTCCGAAGCATCATTAAAACCACCGACATATTTACTGTATAGATCCAACACCGAAACTTTAGCAAAGTTTCTGAAAGATCCAATAGATTTCAACCAATATCATATGATCTATAGTAAGGATATTTTTCCTTTAATCTCTTTCCTATAGGAAATAGAATACAAGTCGGTTATATCCGATAAAAACTTTTTTATGGTGGTAGAGTGAGAGTTGAATTTACTGTAATAGTGTCTTGGTTGAATTCCTCTTGTAATTTGATTCGGATGAAATATATAATCAAATTTCGATAAATGATAGTACTTAACTGGAGCATAAATCAATACATTAATAACGTATCACGTATAACACTTTCAATAAATTTTAAAAAAGTAAGATTTTCGATATTAAGTGAAGAGTATTTAGATTTATTATTATTATTTTTATTTGTTAATAAATTAAGAGAGGTAATAAAAATAAGAAATTTCTATTTATAAAACTAGTTTTTAGTTAAATACAAATTGAAATATTTTAATAAAAATAACCTTTAACACGTGTCTGCTTTTATCTGGTCTTCCGTATCTTAATTCTCCAAATATCCAATCTCTTATGACGTTTGCTACTTGTTGACGCGAAGGATCTACCAAGCGGAAAGCAGTAATATTTGATCGGCTAGAATGAAATTCTTTGAAATCTAATGTATGAAAGTCCTAAAAATAAATAAAATATTAAATTAATATATATGCGAAATCATTCACTTCACGTTATTAATGCGAAACTTACCAGTGAAGTTATTATGTAATTATGATATTCTGTCAACATGCCAACTTCTTGAGCCTGAAATATAATATTACTTTTTAAACATTTTTTTGTAAAAAACGCATTTTCTTTAAACTTAAAAAAATTTTAAATCATCTTTGTGAAAATCAACTCTTAATTAAATGTTCTTTCTGTAGTTTTTAGTACTAATTATTTATATACTCGTATATTAAATAAATTTTTAAACATTCTTGAAGAGGTTATTCATAATTTTTTAAAGATTTTAAATTGTTTTTCTCGCTTCCAGAAGTTAAATATTTCACGAACATCTTTCTAAACAAGTCTAATCAATAATTTTTTATACCTTAAACATGTCTTTTATAAAACTTTTCATTCTTGTATTATTAAAAGAGCATGTTTGCTGATTTCAAATGCTGAGTTTATTTTGCAGTTACATTAATAAGCAAGAGTTTTTTAATAAATAAACTTGTTAAATTTAAATTTCGATTAAAAAAAATATATATATAAGCATTTACAAGAGGGATATTTGACATTTCACTCATTATACTTATAAAATGCATCTATTTTAATATCTGACAGTTCTAGTGAATGTAAAAATGATTAATTGACTATAAATATTTCTGTAAATTCTTCCAGAGAGATTATTAAACTTCTCATTTTTAAAGAAAATTTAGCATTTTAAACTTCAAGTAATTCAATTTAAAAATTTGAATCAAAGTCAATATGCGGCTTCGAATTGCTTTTTTCTTATGAACAATCCTTAAATTTAATCAGAAAAAAACTATGAAATTTAATTAAATAAATTATCTTAACGTACTAAACAGCTTATTAATTCTAAAATGATAATATTTAAATAAATGAATACAATAATGTTAATAAATTAGATTTTGTTTTATAAATTTGACAAATCTTATTTTCCTTTTGTTAATTATTTTATTCTATTCAAATTATATCTTTCTTACTCTTTTCTCAGTAATTATATTATTGTTAGTAATATAATTAAATAGAATTTAACGAAGTTATTCCTCAATAAGATTATTGTTTAATTGAAACTTTAAATTATAAGAAGAAAAGAAAAAAAAATTTAAATTTTCATTGAAGTTTTATGAATTTTAATGAAGTTTCTTTTTAAAGCATTATGTCTATAATTTTATTTCATCAAAACATTTGCAATTATATATAAAATTTAAATTTTACATTAAAATTACTAAATTACATAAAATAATTTAATTATAAATTAAACTGATTTAATTTTTAAGTTAATATTATATTATATTAGTTTTCAATAATTTTGATGTTTTTAGTGAATAAAATAAGATAAAAAATTGAAATGATTTATAAAATTTAAGAATCAGTTTTTAATATATCAAAATAGGCATTAATTCTCCCTTAAAATATTATTTTAAATTTAAAATAATTACTATTTTGTTATTTTATATAAATTTATAAGTATCAATTACATACATTAATTATATGTATTTATACAAATGAGGATGTTTGTTTGTTTGTTCGCTATGCACAATTAGCCAATTGCTATATTTAAATACTTCTAACTTAGATACTGTCGTACATCCCACTCCATATTATTGATTGAATTTCTATATATCAATTAACTTGTGTCTACATTTGATTTGCTGGCTTTACACGTAGCGCTATTTGTTGGCAAAAAAATTTAGAAAATAATAAACTAAATATAATTTTTAAAAATATATATTATATTCACTTAATTACTGCTGATATAGAGCGAAACAGACGTGCTATTACGCGCCATTATGCCATTACTACGACAAGTAGCGCATAGCAGTTGTAGTAGTGGTTTCCCCCTGTATATCTTACTTTTTGTGTTAGCAACAGAATCGTGCTAATCATGTATCATGTATCTCCGTTCAGGGGAAAATAATTTTAATTGAAACAACATGAATTACTGTAGAATTCTTATATAGTTAATCTGGGTCTACTAACCCCTCTGCTTTCCACCAGTTTTCTCTACATTTATCTATCTTACTCCTTTCTCGAGATAAATAGAGAACAGACGGACAGACGGATGCTAACGGCTTTTATAGGTCTACAATTTCTTCAAAATTGCAGCCTAATAAATACCCTCCAGTAACAGAGTGGATAAACCATCGAACACCGGTAGTTGGTCGTGGGTTCGCGCATCGCCAATGGACTGGCCAAGTGGAGTTTTCTGGGTTTTCTTCGCGTTAGTAACACCTAAATAGGGGCCAGCTTTACATAAAAGTATTTCCGAGATGCATCCTCCTTGGCAGTTCGCTCATGTGTCGCGTTGCCGTAACCAAATAAACAAACCAATTCTAATACTTTTTCAAAAAACTCAATATTTACGAGGACCTACTTAACTACCACGAAACCTGGACAATCCGCCCCTCTTCTGATTTAATCTACTCATAAACCCATTGCCCCAAACTTCTTTTACTGATATTACTTAAGATGTTCTAACGTTCAGCCAAATTAATGTACAGTACTGTACTATACGTGCAACGATTTTAAGGACAATGTAGGGCTGGAAATCTTTTTCTGTGTCGATGTTTATTTTTCCTATTTATTATCATGGCGACATTGCTTCACTCAAAATTTCCTTCAGTTGTAGTATGTGTAATGTTTATATTATTCACATGTTGATTCTTACTGTCAAATCTGCTTCTACTATTCTTATGCCACAACTTTCAAAAGTTTCCTTTACTTAAATATTTCTGGTGAGCTTTACTTTTTCAACCTGGTTTCACCAGTTTTTTTACGGAATCACGTAAAATAAATTATTCTCGCATTTTTACAAGATTTTTTTAAAAGTCTTATATCTAGTCTTTCGGATGTTAAGGTTAGCAAGTTCGATCACATGCGGGGCCATCACAACCTAACCTATACAACACAGATCACTTTTCAAATATTAATAGTAAACCGGTATTAATTAATAGTCGTTGACTCCTGGAGGAGGACAACTATTACTTTTGATCGAATTAATTTCAACTTCTATCTTCAACAGCCCTTCTTTCTATCGTATTATATAATGTTCATATTCGAATGCCACGGTACCGGGTGGAATTCGAATAGGAAAATTACATAATATGAGGCTACCAGCGAGCACAAAATATGTTTTAAGTGGTTTTCGAGGGTGCTGAGTTTAATTATTTAGTCCGTTTTTCGCGAATTTTGATTTGTTGTAGGATCACCATTTGATATTCGGCTGTGAGTTAACATTAGTGTCTACTTGACCGATGAAACTGTGCCATTTCTTACTATCCTAGTATCGCGATAAACCTGACAATGGTAGGCTAAAATAACCAAACTCCTTATGTAGTTTTTTTTAATATTTGTTATATTATAGTATTTGATTTTTATAAGTACAAACGTTATCTTACTTAAGGGTTTATCATATCAAGTACCCAATCTAACACATTTTAAAACTTCTTTATTCCTGTATAGTACACAATTTAAAGAGTTTTTAAAATGTGTTAGATTGGGTACTTGATAAACCCTTACGTAAGATAACCTTTGTAAATATAAATCAAATACTATAATAAAATATACTATAATAGAAGGGTTAGAAGTACAAAATAATTTAATAATCTTAATGTTTGTACCTAATTTTTGCTAGGGCAACGCCGGACTTACCTGCTACTAAATTAATATATTTAGATTATTTTTAATAAATTAATTTTATAATGTTTTTAGATATAATTATTTTAAGTTCTTATAAAATATAACTAGAATTTAAATATTTTATAGAAAATAAAGTATTTAGTGAATACTATTGCTAAATTGAATTAACAATAAATTTAAAAATGATTTAACTTTATAATAATTATTATTCTATACAGAGAATTACTCTTTATATACAGGAAATATTAATTAAAAACTCAAAATATATATAAATAAAAGTAATAAAATGAAAATCCGAATAATCATAATAAAAAAATGTTTTTGTAGATAATTTTACTAAGATTTTTGAATTTAATTTTAATGTAGTTAACGAAACTTTTAATGCAAATGAATTAGAATATCGAAATGTTCACAAAATCATTTTTGTTCTAAATAAAGTTAATCATCTTTTGAAAATTATTTTAAAAAAAACTTATTATAATAGAAAATATTTATTTGAATTTAAAATAATGATAAATTATAATTATGAAAGTAAATAAATAAGTAACAAAATAATGTGCTATCAATACTTAAGGCATCTTGTAACTAAAAACGTCGCAATACATTTGCATATTGTATAAGAAAATTTGAAACGTTTCAGAATATATAAAGAATGGATAATGCAATTGTCCATTTATGATCAATATAACAACAATCAAAGGACTTTACATGAATAATATAACGCTGTTTCTTATGTCGTGTTTGGATTTTCGCCAAACTTAGTTTAAAAAATCGAAACATTTTCTTAATTTTCTTAATCTTTATTAAATCGCTACGCATTTAGTAGGTTTGAAATCTGTAAATACATAAGTTATATATATTAATTTCTACATTAAGTCATTATTTTTAATGTACAGACTTTTCTATATATTGTTTCATTTCCTTATAAAATGTAGCTTATCTAAAATAATATTGCTTATACATTAAATCCAGGACTTGATTATATAAAAAGAGAAAAATAGATAAGTTAATATATTCGTTTCTAGAGATATAGATACCAAAATGGGAAAGTTTGTCCTAAAAACAGAGTGAAGTTAGTATATTCCTTATAATCACAGTGATGTGACATTTATTAAGGTTTTATAGTTATATTAAAATATATAAAAAATGCTCAGGAGGAAAAGTAATAATATTCGTGTTAGTAATAAAATATATTTTATATAGTCAGTGAATATTCCAATTGCATGTAAAAAAGGTCATCTAAAAACATTTTATTTTTGATACAAATGTTAAGAATCTTTCCTACTAATATGTACTGTATATATGTACAGTTGTTATATTTAATAAAAGTTTAAAGGTAAACTACTAATTAAAATTAAATTATGAATGCTGAAGACTCAATAAATGGTAGTTTTAATACAATACATAAAACTACCATTTATAGAAAATCATTAGAAAAAGACTTATCTAATATTAAGTTAAAACAGATAGAATTCTTAAACTTTCTGTTCATGAATGATATTATGAGAGCAAGTACAATGCTAACCCTGGAGTAAATTTTTATAAAAATCAATAGAAAGAAAATATTTGGCCATATCCTATTAGAAATTCGCATGCAGTTTCCTATAATATATAAATATATTTTAGAGTATGCGAAAAACAGCATAGAATTCGAAGACTGATATGAACTGATGTTGGATAGCAAGAAGTTTTGTAGCATCTCATCCATAGGGACAACATGGAGAAGGTTTTACCTTAAAATGAATAAAAAATAGTAGGTTTGTAATGTAATTTTCGCATTCATACTAGAATTTTTCAATGCTAATCATAGAGTTAACTTAACTATGTATAATATACGAATTCTCTTTGATATACAGATATAGAACTAATAAATTTAAAACGTAAAATAACTATTTAAGTTCACATGTAACAAATTTTTAAATAAATCCTCGAGTTTTTCTCAAAGCTTTCTTCTTTTTTTAACACCAAATCGATATTCTGTATTTTACAACTCTTCAATTATGAAAGATGAATTATTGAATGAAAATCGATTCGGTTTATTTAAAAGTGAAATTATTTTTAGATCAAAGAATTATCTGTTTTTAGAAATTTAGTAAGAAAATATTTATATTGATAAATTGAAATATAGCCGACTTAAGTGTAGAATGTATTTTATCCAACTGAAAAGCAAGCAGTACAATTTTCTTGAATAAACAATAAGTTAATGCATTATTCACTAAGGAAATGAATAAGCCTACATTATCTTTCTTCAAATATCTTTAAAATTTTATTTATAATTTAATAACATAAAGATAGTTTAGGCTGCATCAATAGATATTGTAAAGAATAGCGTATGAATTGTATTCGGTTAAAATTTTTTCGATAACGACGCTATGATTGTTAAAATGATAAGTATCACATTGGACCAAAATAGTTGAGAAAAGGATTAGACTTAGATTATGCTCTCGATATTCTTATCTGAAGGAATAAAAAATGCGAAATGTTACATTAATGTAGTTGTTTGTTGGAAACTCTATAAATGATTATACTTGTTAATCTCGATTAATCTTTAAAGATAAGAAGACCATTTAGATCTTAACACTTTGATTTGTTTCCTGGATCGATAAGAACTAAGCTAGAATTACTACATAGTCTACTTACTTCACGAAATACCTGCTTCAGCTTCTGTACTGAGACGTCAAGAATGATGTTACTTTCTCCATTTCTTCTTGCTTCTTTTAGTAATTTTCTATAGGTTTGTCCTCGAGGTAGTTGTCTTAATGTAACCTTTCTGTCGTATTTGGATGGAACTATTAACAAATCTTGATACTGGATCAGATCTGACGTGTAAAATATTTGGTATTTGTTCAATTTTAATATTTTAACAGTAATATTTTATTAATATCTATAAATTCAAATATTTTATTTTTAGATAGTTTGAAGATTTATCAAAATATACTTTTAATTCAATTTTAATAATAAAGCTTACAAGATAAATAAAATTCTTATATAAATAGAAACATAATTTTGATTAATTTATCATTTTTCATGTTTAATAAATGAATGTATAAATGCAATTTAACAAGTAAATAGAAAACTAAACATAGTTTCCAGCAACTTTAAATATTAATAATAATTTGCAGTTAATAATTGTATCTTGACTTTTAATATTGTTAAAAGTCACGACGTAACTACTAAAACGTAATAATATTCTGTAGAAACTATAACCTATTTCAGATATTTAGAAATAATTTAGTAAATTTATCTAAGACAAACGTTTTCGTTATTGATATTTTTACTTAATATTAACTGAAGAGAAATTTTTCAAGCAGTAACCACATTGTCTCAAGAGGAAGGCAAATACACTCAAGAGAAACATCTTTTCAGTGCTAGAAGTGTAACGAATAAATATCACTTTTGAAAATATCGTATAGTGAAAGTTTGGAAAAACATATCAATAAAATATCCTAATGGTTCTACAGTGGAATATCCAGCAAGTCAATATTTTTTCAAATAATTTATTATATAAATAATTATATCTTTTAAATTGTTTATATAAAAAAACAAACTGTATAATGTTATTGATGCACTGTGTAATAAAATATTTAATTCTAACTTTTGCCTTTTTTATAATGTTTTATTTCTTAAAGTTTTTTCCTTTTCTCTTTTTTTTAAATGAATGTATTTTATTTCCTGTAGAAGCATCAGTAATCAATGAAAGAAATTCAGTAGAAGTCATTCCTTTTTAACTCTTTTTTGTCAGTAACAAACTCAACTTCACCTATAACTGCTGAAACAACTACATGTTCCATTCAAAAGTGACTACTTATTCGATTCTTTACTTTAATGGTTTCCCATTCGATTCTTTAGGATTATATTTTATCTTGATTTATTATAAGTACTAACTCTTTATATAGAATATTCACCATCATTTATCAAATTGTCTTTGTTATATTATAATTTATAAACATTATTAAAATAAAAGTGGAATATAAAATGTGATATATTTAGATGAATGAGAGCTATAATAAGAATATTTTACTTAATTTATAAAACATAATTATTCATTCGGTTTACTACATTACCGTCATTATTTTCGTATATAATCGTAAATTTTTCCCATCTTTTTGCGTTTAATAAATCCAGACAGGCTTTACTAAGTGCTGATGTATCCGGGTAGACATTGATTGAGTGATGATATGATCGAAATCCAACATTCCACCACATGTATACATTTGGGACTTCAAAAGTATTGCAAGTTGACTGGATAGTGTTGCATAAAGATGGCGAACGTGGACCGAATATGGCTGCAACTCCCATCTTTAAAAATTCGCATACTGTAGAATAGAAAAAATATATATATACATCAGTGATGCTATTATTAGTATAGATATATATACCGGTATACATAAGTATTCGTAATGTTTTAAATGTATTTTCTATCAAAAATTTCGACATATATCATTTGTCTAAAATTAAATATTTATATTTGGCGTATGAATAATTAAAATTATATACTTTGTACAAGTTTCTGATCGTCTTGTAAATAGAATTAGCGATGTAGTCATACTTAAATATTATTTTCAACTTCAATCGATTAGTCAAAAATAATTTATCAAGGAAACTTCAGAAAGTTTTTCATAAATTTTTATTATGGTACCTGAACAATAAAAAAAACGAGGAGAAAGAATTAAAAAAAGAAAAAAAAGGTAACAGGGATAATATTTTACTGGAGAAAATTTGACTTTAATAATAAATGCCATTATCCATTAAAAAAAGTATAGCTTGGTTATTAAAAGATATTTATAAAAACTAAACCAAAGCACAGAAAAAATATTGAAAAAGTTTTCAATTAAGTGTCGTTAAACAAACTGCACACATTCTGCATATTATGTTAAAGAGTGGTTCGTACTGTACATGCTATATATATATGATAAAAATAAAAAGAAATTTCCACATAAATTTTTCAAATCGATAAAGAATTTAATATTATAATATTTCATACAAATAAATGAAACAGATGCAATATTATTTAAATCATAAAAAGTGTTCTTTGGTTTCATATTAGTTTACTCATTTTTTNACTTTCAATAAATTTTAAAAAAGTAAGATTTTCGATATTAAGTGAAGAGTATTTAGATTTATTATTATTATTTTTATTTGTTAATAAATTAAGAGAGGTAATAAAAATAAGAAATTTCTATTTATAAAACTAGTTTTTAGTTAAATACAAATTGAAATATTTTAATAAAAATAACCTTTAACACGTGTCTGCTTTTATCTGGTCTTCCGTATCTTAATTCTCCAAATATCCAATCTCTTATGACGTTTGCTACTTGTTGACGCGAAGGATCTACCAAGCGGAAAGCAGTAATATTTGATCGGCTAGAATGAAATTCTTTGAAATCTAATGTATGAAAGTCCTAAAAATAAATAAAATATTAAATTAATATATATGCGAAATCATTCACTTCACGTTATTAATGCGAAACTTACCAGTGAAGTTATTATGTAATTATGATATTCTGTCAACATGCCAACTTCTTGAGCCTGAAATATAATATTACTTTTTAAACATTTTTTGTAAAGAACGCATTTTCTTTAAACTTAAAAAAATTTTTTTTTGACTGGACTGCTATATTATACAGAACTTTCAGTTTTTATGAGAAAAAAAAATATTCATAAAGCAATTACAACTACATTACTTGAAAAAATAAAGATAATTTTTCTGGAAATGCAAGAGATAAGTGAGCTTTAATGTTTTTAGTTGAGTATATTTTCAAGTATAAACGATATAAAAAAGAAGAATAAATCGTTATAAATACAGTAAATTGTGGGAAAAAATATCATAAGTAGGCGAAATCAGTTATGAACTCGCACTTTAATGATTTTTTAACATAAAAATGAAAGAAAATTCACTAAACTATATTAAAATCATCGAGTAATTCATTACAGTTTCTTGAGATGGTAAAAAAAATTAAAGAGAATTTAAAATCGACGTTATTTTGTAATCTGTATTAATATGTTAAACAAAATACAGACACAGAAACTTGGCAAAAGTTTCAGAAAATTCATAAATATCATAAAAATGTCAAAAGTTTTTAAAAGTTCATTTTCATTATAAGATTTTATTACTGTTTATAACTTTCAGAGATATTCTAAATATCAGTAGAGTTGTTTACTGTACAGACCTACTTATAAGTGTGTTGCAAAATTTAAATAAATCGTAAAAACTAAATTTAAGACAAATGTAGTAATCTGCGAGAAGAAAAAAATATATATCAATCTATTTTTTTATGTTATTTATAACAGTTTCGTTGGTCTGAAAAATAAAACAGTATTATTCATAAAAGTGCTTATTATCCAGTTTTATCTTTGCTGTTTGAAGAAATACTCTATAAATTTTATCGTAAAATGTTTAATACAATGTTTCTGTCTGTTTCTTGAACACGATCAAAGAATGTAAAATACAATATATTGTGGATATTTCAGCCTATAAATCATTCGCATTTTGAGTGAAATTTAAATTGAAATAAATACATTAAAGTGCCAATATAATCCGCTTAAAATTTGTAAAATTTGCGTGTAAGATTCTAATCTAACGTAAAGTTTATTATTTTATTCACACTTAACGAAAGATTTAGTGATTTTGTATATAAAACAATCTTTTATATTGTTGAAAAATATAAAAATTGATATAAAATTCTTATAATTTTTAATATATGATACATATTTTAAATATTTAAACATTGTTTCTGAATTTTTTTTTATAACATATTCCTATCATGAATGAATGACTGAGATAAAATGCAATATGTATGCTTTTGTTATTTCTAACATTTATGAGTAAAATAAATTTTCTATTTACGTTAGCTTGAACTGTATGATTGAAAGAATGTGATTTTAAATACGAAATCAAATATATTTGATATGATTACAAAATAGTAAAAGAAATATAATGAAATTATATTATTCTTTACAGATAACATATTACAGAAAATGAAACATATGAAAAGGAAAGAAAAAGTGCTTTGAGAATGTTTTTCTTGTACTTTTACTAGGAAAGTAAGAAAGCAATCAGTTTTTGTCATCAGAGCAGAATATGTTCTCTGAACCTTAAGTAAAGTCAATAATATCTGTTATAACTCTATCCAGAAAAAAAGAACTACAAATCGAAATGAAGTACATACTTTTTCAACGACTTAAATCTATATTCTTCTAAAGTTTCTATAGAGTTTAAACAAACACCTAGTTTTGTTTTAATTTTGAAAATTAAATAAAAACAAAAATTTAATTTAAGATATACAAATAACGTTTCTTGAAAACTTTAATTAGCTTATAAATCTTTTCTTATACAATAAAAACAAAATTTACAAAACTAATTAAAATCAAAAATTATTATTTTATACATTTCTTTTGAATTTTTCCTTTTAAGAATTTCCTTTTTGTTTTTTAAACTTTTTTTTTTAAATTTTATTGAATTTATTTTTTAATTTATTGAATTTTTTATTCTTTTGGCTTTCCATATAAAAAGATTATATCAGTTAAAATGTAGAAAATATAGAACTATTTATAAATTTATTTTATTGTGTTATTTATTACCTATTTCTGAATAAATCAATATTATAGTATAGATCTATGCAGGTTTAAATTGTGATAAAGCAATTAATTTTTAAAATTTTTTTTTTTATA